TGGGACTAAAAATAAAAAATAAAATGGATTTTGGGACTACTTTTGATTTTTGCTCTTTTATTTATTTATTATTATTACTTTTTTTCTTTTAGTATGCGATGATATTGTGGCCCGAAACGATTTAGGTTTAACTCATTGTCCGACCCGATCCAACCGACAACATGATCCGTAATTCAGATCCTACATTTTTTTTTTTATAAATTTTGAACTTTGGATAATATACTATAAATTCGAATCAATTTAAAATGTAATATATTAATATATTTTATTATATGTATTTAAATTTTTATGATACAGGGGTTGAAGTGAGCTCTTTGAACATGGTACAATAAGATTGATGTATATTTTCAACAAAATAGACTCATAAAAAAATAAAAAAAAAAAAGTAAAAATAGTCCAGTAAAGAATACCCTAGTAGAAGTTCTAGGATTGGCAATAGGTCCAGGTAGACCCGAGACCCGACCCATTTATTTTGAGGTTGGGTTCAATTATTCAGGTATTGAGTCCGGGTCTGGGTCGGATATTGTGTATCCTTGTCGGGTCCGGGTCGAGTCTCGGGTCCAGGGTAGACTCTACCTGTACCCGGACCCGATTAATATATTAATTATATATGAAAAAAATTAATTTTCAATACTATAAATTATATTAAAAATATGTTTTTAGTTTTATATATATATTTTTATTATTTTTGAATAAAATATATAAATTTTAATATATGTCGGATCTGGATCTGAGTTCGGATCCAATTTAAGTTAAAATTTAAGAATTAAAAAAAATTCGGGTCTTATCGAGTATTGTTCGGGTCGAATTCAGATCTCAGGTTCAACCATGTGTGTTCGGGTCAGGTCTCGGGTCCGGCTGGACCCGACCCATTGCTATCCTAAGTAGAACTGGTGCGTGGGATAAACTTCCTACCATAAGGTCAGTGAGACATGCACACATTCTTTGAACTATGAAGTATTTGATATTATAAAATTTTGAATTTTAGGTCACGAACAAGTTCAACAATATTTTTTGGGTGTAATTTTTAGGTTTATGAACCCCTTCAAAGTTACATTTTGGAGTTGCAAAGTGGATTATCCGCTACATTGTTGAAACTACAGAGTATATTATTTGTACTTTAAAATTCTAATTTTAGTTTACAAAGAGTGACCAGACGAGTTTTTTTATTTCGATAACGTGGGAATCCGCACCCGCTACCAGAAAGTGCACACCGGGTAAACCTCAGGCCCAAGACTAGACAAGTTCTTTGAATGATAGGTGGAGTATTTCAGCAAATTTATTCACTCTCAGGATTGGAGTCAAATTTTATCACTAGTTTTACTGTTTTATTTTATTTATCTTAAAAACTATCAAATCAAACACTTATTTTTTATTTATTATATTACATTAAAATTTAATTTATTATATTTGATGTGATATTTTTTGAAAAATAAATAATGCAAAATGAATAAAAATGTGTTGGGTAAACAAAGATCTCTCAAATTGTATAGTGCTTGTAAATTATCCAAAATACAATATATATCTAAGTTGTGTAACTTAATAAAACATTTATTTATTTTCAACTTCCGCACTAACTCAAATAGAAATATTATCTCCGTCTGGCTCTAATGGTCTCGTTTACCTTTTGCGTTATTGTACTTAAAAATATCTTTATATTTGTATAATATTTTGCACAAATGTCATTATAATAGTATTATAAGACACTAATAGAAGTATTTTTGTCATTTTCCCTTAATTTGTATTATGATTTTATATAATAATTAATATTCAAAGATCAACATACAAATATAAACAGGATCCTTAGAGTCGGAGAGATGTAGCATTATTTTAATAAAAAAATTATGCCCAAAATTTAACCAAACGCACCCTTGTAAACAAAATAATACAAATATTCTGTTGATTTTTTGTCCAAATAGGTCCATCCCATTTTATAATACAAAACACACTCATTCAGCTGCCCAATATACCTTGGCCCTGGCCCATTCTATAGGTCTGCGACCCGAGCCCACGCCTAGACCCGCAACCCTTGCCTCAACCCAGTTCCCTGAACCGCTACTCCAACCCGACTCTAGGATCCGCATTTTTTTGAAAGGTTTCATCTCCTCCTTTGGATCTAGGTCTTGCATCTGAGCCGTTCATCATATTAAACTCTATTTATATATTTAGTGAGAGCATTCATTCGACTTTGACACTTTCTCTCTCGAGAACTATTTCCTCTCTAGCTTCTTCTCTCACTCATGACCCCTGTTCGGCTATTTTTTCCGGTGGTTCTACGGCAATGCCTTCCTCATGTTTGTGTGTAGTTATTTGGTGCGATACTCCCTCTGTTTGTGTTTTTCGTAGCCGAAAGGGGCTCGTTCAACTTATTAGGCGTGTGATTTTGTTCTTGTTGCCTTATATCTTTACTGTGGGGATATTTTTCGGTCTGTTGTGTGGATTTTGGGCCGGTGTTATTGTTATCGTCGTTGTTTGAGTGTGTTTATGTCTTTTTTTGAGTTTTCGAGTTGATTTGAGGCTGAGCTTAGTTTTCGAGTTGATTTGAGGCTGAGCTTACAAAATCTAAAACTAATTTAATATTTTTACTCTCGTTAATAAAATCTTGGTTCCGTTCATATATTTAATAATATATTCCTTTCCCAGGTTGAACATTCTTAATAATTGGATTCCACGTTCATAAATTTATTTATTTATTTAAACTATTATTATTGTTATTATTATCATTATTATTATAACGAGGAGTTTTATTAAAGTGTTTTTGGTACAAAATGAAAACATATCAATCATTTTATCTTATATTTTGCGTTAGAGAAGTTAAACTTTATAAATATATTATTTTTATTTTTCTCATATAGAAATGCATATTGATTATTGAGAAATGCAGTGTGTTTATTCAAGATATTTTTTATTATTTATTATTTTGTTTTTTTGTTTTTAATTATACTTTTCCAATTTTACGAAATATCATATTTATTTTATTACTCAAATATTTAATTTATTTATTTTAAATTATATGAATTTAATTTTACAAAATATGACATTTAATTTATTATTTAAACAAAAAAACTCACCAACTATATTTCTATATGAATTCCCACATACTGGAATCATCCTATCGGATTAATTATTTTCTTTCAAACGATTGATCAAATCGCTAAATTTCTTTCATAATTTTCGATTGAATAGTCCATTCACTATAGTTCTCATTTTGTGCTGAATTTCTTTTATTTACAATTCCTTTTGCTATCCTAATTTGTTTGCAATTTCATTCACCGCATTAAAGACATTCTTTAAAGTAGCTATTCTTAAAATATACATTGAATAAACAACTCAAACAAACATAATAACTTGCAAATTAAATTATAACAAACACAGCAAAAAAACTTCGGAGAGTATAAACCAACCTTTAAGGGGCTTATGAAGATTGCGCCGATTGGACTTGGAATCGACAATTCGGGCATCGGCTATGAATCGAGTTTGAATCGATTGAATTTGTTCCAACATTTAGATTTACAAAATTGATCGAACAAGAAGTCTTCTTCTTCTTGCCTTAAATTGATTTAAGGCGTGCTTGTTTGGTCTCGATTTAAGTTTCAGTTTATGTCTTTAGTCTCTTATTTTATTATACTAATTTTAATTTTCGATTTGGTATTATTAATTTGAATTTATTTTTATTAATTAAATTATATTTTGTTTATAAAGTATTATTTGGTAAAGTCCATCTATTAGTTATATTAATTCACAACTCTTTAAAATTAAATTATTGTTTCATACAAAAAGTTGCCTCGTTTATAAATTATTGTTACATTCAGGACTTTTTTAACCAAAATAGTCAAAGTATTTATCATGTATAATATATTGTTTTTCTTTTAATAAATAATACTCCTATATTATATAAATTTCATCGAAGAAATTATCATAAAAAATTCTATTTCTAACAATATGTTCAAAATTAATTTTTTTATTTTTTATTTTACTAAAAAACACATTAATTTGTTTGTTTAGTATTTTAATTTAATTTAATTTTTTTTTAGTGTCAAAAATAAAGAATAAAAATACTAAAAAATATATATTTAGAATTATATTTAAAAAAAATTATTGAACAAACAAATTTTTACATTTATTTAGATCAGATAAATATTTTATATTTATATTTTTACTAATTTTTAAACTAATCAAAATTTAGAAATATTTCCTAAAAACATATCAGATTTATTTGTTTAGTATATTTATTTGATTTTTATTTTTTATTTTATGTAAGTATAGAAAATAATTTTAATAATAATAATAATAATAATAGTAATACTTAATAGAGTAATTGAAAGAGAAGAAAATATATCTCTACAGAAGTGGGTACAACTCATCCAATGGCGGCCCTCTCTCTCCTCCTCGCTGTATATTCTCTCTCTCTCTAAAAATTGAATCCGCGTGCCGAAGAATTCCTACTCAGGAATAAAAATGAATCAGATAATTGAAATTTTAAAAATGAATTATTTTTCATTTTCTATTTTTATTTTTCTATCATGTGTAGAGAATGAGAAATAAAAATTGAGATCCTACAATGTGTGTTTATTTGTTTTTGTTATTATTATATTAGTATTATCTAATTTTTGTATTTTTTAAAAAAAAATATATTATTCCATTTGAGTTACATCTAAATTATTATTCAAATAAAATTAAAATAAAAGATTTACTAACTAAATAGTACAATATTATTTACAAATTTTCTCTTTATTAAAATTCTCTCTTTTCTAGTTCATCATTCATTTGTATTCATTCTCTTATTTTCAACTCCCAATACATGGTTTCCTATATTCATTCAAATCATTTATATATTTTAATTAAAATATTTTTCAATTGAATTCTTTATTTTATGAAATAAAAAAATTAATTATCGTTTTCTTTTCAAATTTATTTCTTTTACAATTTTATTGTATACTATTATTTGTTTTTAACTCTATTTTGTATACAATTCACCTTAAAAAAATAGAGTAAAAATGTTGAGAATAAATATCATCGTTAATTGAAAAGTAAAATAATCATTTCAATATCTGCCAACTATTCTTACACATCACAACATGATAATAATGTTTTACAATTGGCAACGACACTAAAACCGCCAATCAGATAATTTTAATTGAATGGATCCGTATCCTAATTCCTCACGTTCTTCTTTAATCTGCTTTGCCCAACTTTCAATCGACTCACCACAGTCCATAAGGTAGATCAATCTAAGCTTGGGAATGTCAACAAAGCCAAGAGGGTCAGGTAATTTTTTGAATTTGATACCACGAAGGAAGAGTTCCTCAAGGCTTGGAAAGCTACCTTCCTCTGTTTTCCAATACTTCAAATCAACAAAACCAACACGCAATCTTTTCAGTCGAACAAATTCCTTTTTAGTTACATTCCACTCAAGCCCTTTAACACCACCCGTTCTAATTACAAGAATTTCCAAATTGGGTAATAAACCAATGCTCACCATCTCACTCCACCAAATATTAGTGTTTCTTATACTCAACTTTCTCAGAGAACGTGGGAAAGAAATGTCTTTAATGGAAACCATCCCATAAAGATCAAGTGACTCAAGCCTACACAAATGGACAAGATTGCTAAGGCTATAGTATGGCCCCTCCTCCACATCTCCTGAAAAATAGTATATTATAAGTTTCTTCACATTCGGAATCCTCTTGTAAATCTCTTCACTACACCTAAAATCTATCACATAAGATAGAGTTTGTAAGTTTTCCAAAGTACAACAAGACTGGAATTTTGGAGGTGGCTCAGGTAAAACAATATAACTAATAATTTCTATATGCCTAAGTTGTGTCATCGTCCAAAACATAGATGGTAGAGTAATTTTTGTAGGAATGCCATGTATGGATATAGTTTGTAGGTTCCAAAGAAATGGTAGCATAATAATCTTTAGCATGAGCTTTTCTGAATCAAAAGGAACGGAAAGATACCTGAATTGCACAAGATGCACAATTGACTCCACCAAATTGTTGTTTAACAGGTACGAAGCTTGCGAGGACAACAATTCCAATAAGTGGCTACCATTCTCACTATGTAACCCCCACAAAAACACAGCGGAGGTACTTGACAACTTTTCAACAAGGGTAAAGTTCTCCTTGTGGGCTTCCTTCAGCGACAAGTCTCGTACCAGATCATGGACACCACAATACTTTGCTTCACCTGAAACCCCTCTCCTGTGAACTAAGATAAGGTTTCTATCAATAAGATGGTCCAAGTACTCACGTGCAACATCTTCCAAAATCTTACCGTTTATCGGTTTTAGAAATCCCTCCGCAACCCAAAGCTTGATGAGTTTAGAGACTTTGATACTCTCATCCTCTCGAAAATGTGACATGTAAAGGAAGCAAGGCTTCAAATGAAGCGGCAAGCAAGTGTAACTCATACGCAATATCTTAAAGCAATGTTCCTCATTTTCCCAAGTTAGAATTGCATTTAGATTCTCAGCAACTTGCTCCCAGCTCTCCAATGTCTTTTCCGTCCTTCTCAAAACTCCACCAATTACAGCTATTGCCAACGGAAGACCTCCACAACTTGTGGCAATATTCTTTCCTATCTCCTCCAATTCAACCGGGCAAACTTCTTCCGAGAATACCATATCACGGAGTATGTCCCAACTCTTGTCTTCCTCTAACAATTTCATTGCATAGGGAATGTCCGAGCCAAAATCATCTGCAACACCAACCATCCTCGTGGTCAACAAAACCCGACTTCCATCGCCATTTTCGGGAAGGAACCTTCTTAACACGTTCCAGACCTCAATATCCCACACATCATCCAACACGATTAAGTACCTCCTTCCAAACAAACTTTGGTAGATAAACAGTTTTATATCCTCATCACTTTTTTCCTTCATATCACGCTTATCTATAGCCGATGAGAGTGCTAAAAAAATTTCTGGCAGAGTGTATGTTTGAGAGATGGTAATCCAAACGCGAATGTCAAAGTGCTCAACAACCCAATCATTATTATAAACATTAAGAGCCAGAGTCGTCTTACCAATCCCACCCATCCCCACAATTGGGATGGTTTCCAGCTTGGATCTGCGCCGAGTGAGTTTGTCCATGATTTGAACCAAAGCATCGTCCAGCCCCACCATAGGATTCTTCGCAGTTGGAGCTGCTTGACTTGAATGAGGAGCAGCAACAATAGGAGGATTGAAGGATTTGAGATCCACAGCGACAATTTCATCTCTTACTTCCAACGCCCTTTCTCGCAGCACATCCATTTTTCGTATAATTGCTTGAATGTCTCTGGCGTAGGACGGCAGATCTAATTCCCCTAAATTAATGTATGGGCGAAGAACCTGGACAGACACAAAGGATTTTATGATACCCTCAGCAGCACTAGAGGCGTCCATGATTTGTGTCGCCAATGCGTCTGCAGCTTCTGATTTGCCGTGAAAGTCTTCGAGAAAAGCCATAAAGTAAGAGAGGCGATCGCGAAGCAACTGAATCTGCAGCTCGTCCACACAATTATTCCAACGGCCAGAGGGACGCTGGATGTCGTGAAGAAGTTGGAGAAGGGAAAGGACAGCGGCGTAAGACGATGCCATGGATGAGATGGATGGATTAGCAGTAAGAATAATGTTAATGTAGAGAGTGAGAATGAGAAAGAGATTAAGGAAGGAGAGAGTCGTCTTCCAAGTCCACTCACTGATTCTGATCAGATTTATCAAATAATAATTTTGAATTAATAATTCCAAGTGGCAGAATTAGATTCCTGTTCACTTTACTAATTAATAATTTTTTATTAGAAAATATTGAGATATTATATTTAAAAAAAAATTAATACACTTTTTTTATTAAAAAATCAAATATTTTTATTATTTTTTTATTTATTTCAAATATTTTTTTATAGATTATATATATGTATTTTATTTTTTTAAATTACAAAATTTTCATTCGTCTCAGTTAAATTGTCATTAATATTGGGTACTTAGTAAATAATTAAGAAATATATTAGTAAAAATAATTATAAATTAAAATTAAAATGATTAATTAAAATAAAAGATTATGAATTTTAAAATGTAATTAAAATATATAATTATATTTTTTTTAAAATGAAAATGACAAATTACGTGCTAATGGAAATAAAAATAATTGGCAAAATTAAAGATATAATTTAATAGTCGAATGCTTATTTACTTTCATTTGCTTGATGTGCTTTTTCGAAATGCTGAAAATATATTACTACTAAACAAACTAGTATAGTTTCATTGAAATCTTATTTTTTTTATTTTTAGTTCTACTAAAAAAATTATCATATATCATTTTTTGTTCTAATATTAAAATTTGCATAATACAAACATGGCCGTGTTAGACAGCGTGGAAGATTGAAGAGGTTTCTCTTGGTGAATGTGTTTGGACATCGGAGGAAATTCTCACAGCGATCGTCGGAAGAAGTGATGGAGAAGGCAACAGACAGAAGGAGGAGGGAAGTGAGAGCGGTAATAAGTGAAAGTTTGTTGCGGTAGTAATGAGAGAAAGTTAAGATATAAACATGGATGTGTTTGAACATATGTCATTATTTGACCAGGTGATTGTTTGTTTGAATACAAGGGTGTTTTACATAATAAGATCGTGTTGTATCCAAATCAACGTCATTTCAACTTACGTCGATAAATAAAATTTTGAATTGTCTACTTTTGATAATTTTTTTTTTGAGTAGGACTAAAAATAAAAATAAAAAAAAATTGGATTTTGGAACTACTTTTGATTTTTGCTCTTTTATTTATATATTACTCCTATTATTACTTTTTTTCTTTTAATATGCGTTGATATTCTAGCCCGGAACGATTTAGTTTTAACTCATTGTCTGACTGTCCGACCCGATCCAACCGACAACATGACCCGTAATTCAGATCCTACATTTTTTTTTTTATAAATTTTGAACCTTTGGATAATATACTTGTTGATGTATTTTTTTCAACAAACAAAAAGTAAAATCCGAAAATAGGAAATTATTTTCGAACTTGATATATTTAGCGTCTGCGATTAAAAATCTCTAAACACTGTACAGTACAGAAAATTAACTGGAAATTTAAATGATGATCTCGGAATCACTGACTTTGTCGTCGTTTGAAGTTGATTGAAGATGAGATGTCAGTTGCAAATTTTAATCCTTAAATACTCTTCAGAAACGTACTGTAAACCGTCGCCCGAACGGTTATAACGCTTCTTTTTCAACCGTCTGCTAACCCCTCTTCTGCTGACACGTGCCTTCAGCCGACCGAAATTATCACTCTCATTCACTTTCAACAGTGTCCGACCTCCATACCAACCGATCTGCCTATCCAACCACGAATCGGCTGACTCTTTGGACCGACCGCAGATCTTCCGTCCTTCTTGGACCGACCGCAATCCTTCTGCCTTGTTGGTCCGACCGCCAACCTTCCGACTTAAAAATCACCCGACTTGTGGGTCCAGCCGCAAACCTCTCGACTTACAGACCATCCGACTTGTTGGTCCAGCCGCAAACCTCCCGACTTATAGACAATCCGACTTGTTGATCCAGCCGCAAACCTCCCGACTTGTACATCATCCGACTCACTGACCAACCGACCTGCGAACTTTCCGACCTGCGGACTTTCCGACCTGCGGACTTTCCGAGCTATAGACCTTCCGACCTGCGGACTTTCCGAGCTACGGACCTTCCGACCTGCGAACCTTCCGATCTGCGGACCTTTCAAACTGGGAACTTTCCGACCTGCGGACCTTCCGACCTGCGTACCTTCCTAGTGCGGATTTTCTATTTGGATATTTGCACTCAAGTTTTTTATTTTATTTTAACTTCACACTAATTTTCTTGTAATGCAAGAGGCAACTGCTGAGTTATTGGCTAAATGTGGTCAGTCAAATAATGTTGTTTCCTCGTTTGGCGTATGTTAGCTACATAAAATCCGATCAAGCGATGTGGTACCGAGCTTGCAAGACCTGCAACAAGAAGGTTACTGAAGCTGTTGGCGCCGGCTATTGGTGCGAAGGGTGCCAGAAGAACATGCGAGATTGCAACCTCAGGTCCGTAAATTTCCATACAATCCCGACTTTATATATATACATCAAATTAAACAAATAAAGCTAACCAAATCGGTTTTCCAATTCCTCCCTTTACAGGTACATAATGGTTGTTAAAGTCTCGGATGCAACTGGCGAGACGTACCTCTCTGTATTCAACAAACAAGCCGAGAAGATCATCGGATGCACAGCAGACGACTCAACGAGCTAAGATCTCAGGTCACCTCCAGTACACAGAAAATCTAATACGAGTTCCATTTTTTTGTCATTTTCGTCGATGGCCATCAATGCTCACAAACTTCTTTTATTACTCGCAGGACGGCGAGAGTTATTACCAAATGAAGCTGAAAGAAGTGATGTGGAGAGCTCGGCTTTTGCGGGTAAGCGTTACACCGCACGAATACAATAACGAGAAGAGGCAGAGGATAACTGTTAGGAGTGTTGCAGCAGTAGATTATGCGGCTGAATCTAAGTATTTGCTCGAACAAATTTCCAACAAAATCAAGGTTGTGTCTCTCATTAAATAGGTAAAGTTTTTAATCCATCCTTGTTAAGCTTTTGAACCACATTTTTTCGTATCTTTTGGTGATCTCTCGGTAATTTCTCTCGAAAGTTACATTCGTGATCCTACATCAAAGCATTGTGTTATTAGCGAATGCACCTTTCGACAACGTTTGTAGATAATCTGTTCGATTATATATGTACCTTTCGCTACGTGGAATGTTTTTACTATACAACGATGTGTCAATGGATCAAGCGCAATATTATTTTGCCAACATTAGAATCGAGACAATGTACTTTTCATACAGAAGCTTTGAAGAGTATACTATCTGTATTAAGCGATGATCGCAGCTGTCCAAGCTCGATCAAGGCATTTCCGATTTCCGGGGGCAAGTTTTTATCCTCGCACGCATTGTAATAGCATCCTCGATTTTTAGTATCCGCAGCTAGTTTTCACCAAATCGAACGGCTGTTCCATAGATTGGCCTCGTTTTATTTTACTATTTTTTATACCAGTATTTAATTTTTATGATTTTTATATTATTCAAATCGCATAAAATATTGGATCTAAATTTTTAAATTAAAAATATAGCTAAAAAATACAATAATATTTTTCATATCCAATTTATCATTGTGATCGGTTTAGTTTTTTTTTAAATGTATATATATTTTTATATTTTCTAAACTTAATTATCTGTTTTACCAAAGAAAATAATCAATTCTATTATCTGAACACACCATTAATTTCTCGTTTGTGGAGTCTAATAATAGAAATTTTAAAAATATATTATTTTTTATCAATTCTATTTTTATTCCCCTCCTTTGTACCTTTGTAGACCACGATAACTGAAAATTGAACTTCTACAATTAGTTTATTTATTTATTATTTAATTTTTATAAATTTATTTGAAAATATGTATATTCTAATTCCATAAAAATTATATCTAAATTATTACTCAAATAAAAATTCCAGTATAATTCATCAATTTTTTTCCTAGTTAGATTCATTCTTTTATTTTTCACTCCCAATATATTGTTCTTTCTATCTCGATTCATTTAAGTAGTTGTACTTTTATATATATATATATTTCAACTGAATTATTAATTTTATCCTGACTGTCACAAGTCCAATATCCACACCTTCTATATGTTGCAAAAGGTGCAGTAAAAGTAAAGCAAAAATATTTAGAATAAATACAATATATACATGATTAATTGAAAAAGTAAAATAATCATTCCAATATGAAATTAACAAACCTGACAACTATTCTTACACATCACAACATGATAATAATATCAAATTATAATCGAATGCAACGACACTACTATCTATCAAATCATTCTAATTGAATGGATCCGTATCCTAATTCCTCACGTTCTTTTTTAATCTGCTTTGCCCAACTTTCAATCGACTCACTACATGCAATAAGCTTGATCGATCTAAGCTTGGGAATGTCAGCAAAGTCGAGAGGGTCAGGTAATTTTTGGAGAATGACTTGCAGTTTGTTGAGGGGTGAACAATGCGGCAGTACTCTTAAAATTATCGTCTTCTTCATAGAGTGGACTTTGTTCTGTGATTTTTGGAGAAGTGTCTTCAGATAACAACAATGCTCTTTTGGTAATGCTTCGTGTTGTCATTCCAGTATTTATCGAAGCGCTTGAGATTTTGGACGCGATGGGTGCGCCAACTTCTTTGGCGGCGACGTCGGCTTGAGCAGCAACTTTTGACGCAACGTTGGAAGTCTTGATCTTGTAGGAAGCCATTGGTTGTTGAAAGTTCGTCGGAAAGAGAGATGAAAGGTACAGAGGTCCCACTGGGCGTGCCAAAAATTTGTGGACAAAAAATTGTGTTATTTTTAATAAACACAAAATTTGTACAAATTATATTTCATTTGAATTTAAAGCGGGTCCTATTCTCTAAATGGGTCCTTTGATTCTCCTTCCGAGTCGATTTGTTTTCCAACTTAGTTTTCGATGGCTTCTTTGATCCGAAGAGGTTTGGTCTTCGGTTTGACTTTTCCGGCTTTTGGAGGGTTTTGGTCTCCGTGCGGGCGATTTGATCGTCAGGTTTGGATTTGATGTATTTCTTTTAGACGATCCGAGACTTTGATATTTG